CGCCAGGCCTCCCTCGAAGGAGGTCTGCCATTTGTGTTCAGTTTTTTCCAATCTGAAGACCCTTCTCTTTGGCAGAGGAAATGGAAACAAAATAGGAGCTGAGCAGCTTACTTTATTGACTTTGTCCATTACCACTGTTTCAGCCCTCACCCTTTCTTCAATGCTCATAATTTTCCCTATGTATCTTTAAAAAAAGTCTCTTCATTGTTCTCAGCTTTCCTCATGCGCCTTATCTTATTTTGAGCTTTAGGACTTCTGTTGCTGTTTGGTGTTTTAGTCATGCCCAACTCTTTGTGACCCCATTTAGGGTTTTCTTGGCAAAGATAATTATGTAGTTTGCCATTTCCTTCTCCTAGGACCTCTAGTGTTCTTCTCTTAGGATGATGCTACGTTGGCTTTTCTTTGCTTGCTTTTCCTTTGTTAATTGTTTTTTAGTCCGTCTTCTGTACTTGTCTTTTTTTAAACATCTGAGTCAACAAATATTTATTAAGTGTCTGCTGTATACCAGGTACTGTGATAAGTGCTGAGGATACAAAGAAAGGCAAAAACTAGAAAGGCTGTTCTGCCATCCTGGTTTGCCTCCTTTGGACACTGGGTTGATTGGTGTCCTTCTTATCCTTGGTCTCCCACTATGGAACCCCCTACTACAATTGAGCCAGGGCAGAGCCTTACAGCAGGTCTGTCACCTCACTAGCCCTGAACACTTTGCCTCCTTCAACAGAGCTTAATGTAGCATTGCCTTTTGAGGGTGTCTTTTTTTGTGGGTGAAGAAGACTCATAACTGTGATGACCTGAATCCAGGTTAATTTCATTTTCAATTCTTTTCAGCTAGGGACATGAGATGTGAGAACCTGGAGCCGCTGCAAAACCAGGAAGGAGGAGCATCACCTGAGAAGTTAGTGGAATGGCTAAGAAAGGATATTCTCCAGGGCTGTGCATCTAAGGAGGGTTCTGTCCCAGAGATCTGGTTATGGAAACAAATGGGAATTTTTGCCAAGGAAAGGCTTTGGTCACAAGGCAGCTTCCAATCCATTGAGTGTCCTCCAGAAAATACCCTCTGCCAAGCAAGGAACCCATGAATGGAACAACTTCATGAGAAGTGCAAGTAGCAACATCTACAGAACCAAGAGTTCACGGAATTACAATGGATACGGGAATCTCTCTTATCACCACATCCCCCTTTACCAAAATAAGAGACCACGTAAGACAAAAAAGCCCTAGGATTGTGAGGAATGTAGCAAGGCCTGCACAAAGCACACAAACCTTATTCTGCATCAGAGAGTTCACGTTGGAGAAAAACCATATGAATGCAAAGAATACGGGAAGGCCTTCAGCTGCAGCTCCTCTCTCACTCATCATCAGAGAGTTCATACACAAGAGAAGCCTTATAAATGTAAGGAATGTGGGAAGATTTTTAACTGGAGCTCATCCCTTACTCGACATCAGAGAGTTAACACTGGAGAGAAACCTTATAAATATAAGGTATGTGGGAAGGCATTTATCAAGTTGGTTGCCTCCCTCCCTCCCTCCCTTCCTTCCTTCCTTCCTATCTCCCTCCCTTCTAGGGGCAGGAGACACCATCAGGTAAAAGGGAGGAAGTATCCCTGTCTTCTCTTACTTTGACTCCCCAAGTCCCTGATGGGTGGGAGAATCCAGGGCAGCTGTAAGCACACACCACTAACACCCACAGCCTGTCTAAACCAGCTTGAGCCTAGGTTTCCAAGCCCAGGCTGCTTCTTCTGCTTTGCATTTCTTTGTCTGATCGTAGGTGATTGGACAGCAATCCTGAGATGAACATCTCCAGCCCTAGAGGCCACCTTGTGAGTTTGAGGGCTCCAGAAAAACTGGGTCTTCAGTGGGGCGATCTACATCTACTACAGCTGGAGAAGACAACCACCAGCTGCAAGATGAGCCCAACCCTGGCCTCAAGGTAGCCACAGAGGGAAGTATTTGGACAAAGCAGAGCTGAGGGGAAACACAAAATCGAAATCACCCACAAACCATTCACCAGTGAACTCAGTATCTGCAGGGGAAGTAGAAACACAGCTGATTGTCAAGAGTTAAATTTGGCCTCATCAATATCACTGTATGCAGTGTTCCTCAGGACTCAAACACAGTTCTAGAAGTGTATTTCCTAGTTCTTTAACTGAATCCAAACTTCACAGAACAAATCTCCTTAATAAAAGGATTTGTTCTGTAAAATTTGGACTCAGTCAAAAGGCTGTACCCAAGGACCTAGAAGGCCACATGTGGCCTCAAGACTGCAGGTTCCACACCTGTCCTACTCAAAAGAAACACAGAGCAGCTCAGGGAGAAGAAGAAAGTACAAGCATTACATGTGGAATAGATATACTTATGAAAAAAAGAGAAAAAGAACAGAGAACATGTTAGTGAAGAGAGATGAGAAGGAGAAGCAATCTTGGCATGGAAGTATCTTACAGACTAACTCCACAGAGGGAGAAATTACCTCCTCCATCTGTCCTTGACCTCATCTTCTCTAGCAAATTGCCCCCACTATCATTCCCAAGCTTGCTCTCATCTTCAATTTCTCCCAATCTACTGGCTCCTTCCCTGCTGTCTACAAACATGCTCACGAATCCTCCATCTTGAAAAAATTCCTCACATGATTCAATCATCCCTGCCTCTGATCCTACATTTCCCCTCCTGTTCCTGGCTAAACTGATGGAGAAAGCCATGTACAATGTAATCTGGCTCCCAACCTCATCATTCAGCTCCCCCAAATCACCATGATCTCTTCTCTTTTCTCAATCCTGATCCTTCTTGACCAGTCCTCAGCATTTGGCACTGTCAATCAAGAAGCATTATTAAGCATCTGCTGTATGCCAAGCACTGTGCCCTGGACAGAGCCTTTGGGTATACTCACAGTTGTCGTTCATCCTTTATTCTCCAAGAGAACCAATGACATCATGAGGGTGAAGTCTTGACTTTACTGTGAACTGGATTCAAGTGAGGCAGAGTATTAAGTCATCAGCCTCACCCTCTACTCCAGAGTCATCAAAGTCCAGTGGCAAGACAAGAGTCAAGGCAACTGGTGGTGGCCCAGGATGCAGTGGATAGCCTTGGCCTTTCTAAATTAAAATCTTTCCTAGGTCTCAGTTTGCCTGAGGCAACATCCATTCAGTGTCTAAGGGCTAGGTAAGAATTGAGACTCCCAGTTAGTGAGAGTGACTTAGATGAAGATCTAGTAAAGGAATGGTCAGAGAGGAAGGAGGAGAACCAGGAAAAACTGGGGTCACAATAACCTAGAGGGTAGAAAGTATCCAGGAGAAAAGGGTGATCCACAGTGTTAAATGATGCAGAAGAAGTCCCAGAACTCTGCCCTCAACCCTCTTCTCTTCTGTCTCTATGCTGTTTCACTGGGTGATCTTATCAGCTCCCATGGACTCAATCTTCATCTCAATGTTGAGGCTTCCCAGACCTACCTATATTCTTAATCTCTCTCCTGGCCTGAAGTCTCCCATCCCCAACTGCCTCTCAGACATCTTGACCTGGATATCCGGCAAATAACTCCCAACTCACCACATCAAAACAGAACTTGTCATCTCACCGTCTCTATCATTGGAGAGTACTGCCAATCTCCCAGGCTCCCAACCTAGGCAGCATCCTCGACTTCTCCTCATTCTCCCCTCTCCTCCCATCCCATATCCCATCAGTTAAGTCCTGGGATTTCCACCTTGGTAACATCTCTCGAGTACACCCCCTTTTCTCCTCTGACCTGAACCACTGCAATAGATGCTGAGGGACGTCTGCCCGCCTCAAGTCTCTCCCGATTCCAGTCCAGCCTCCATTCCACTGCCAAAGTGCTTTTCCTAGATACGCACCCGTCCCTCCCTACTCGATAAACTGCAGTGGCTCCCTATCGTCTTCTGGATCATGCAGAAAATGCTCCGGTATTTAAAGTCTTTCATAACCGGGTTCCTTCCTACCAGCCTACTCGGGCCTCCTAGCCCGGGATGCTCCATCTCTTGACGCCCCGCATGTTCCTAGCTAGCCTCCGCGCCTGGGCTGCTCTCCCTCTTCGTCTCCCGCAGGAAGCCTTTTCCCCACTTATGCTAGTGACTTCTCTCAAGGTGGTCTCCACCCCCCCCACCCCACCCCCATCTGGAGTTCATGTGCATGGTCTCCTCACTGGAGCTCCCGGGCAGCACGGGCTTAGCCGGTGTCCTGCCCACAGTGGCGTCCAGCGGGCACGCCGGGCTCCTCGTGGGCTAGAGCAGTACAGAAAGGGGGACGAAGCCGAGGACAGAGCGGCCCCTGAAACCATTAGTAAAGACGAGCTGTCAGCGGCATGTCCACAGGAGCCAAAGCTTCCTTTGGGATTTTGTGGGTTCTACTTCGGGGCCCGAGGGGTCCAGGACACACACACACACACACACACACACTCCAGGTGTGTCCTGGAGGAGCACCCCGATATCAAGGAAGGCTGGAGGTCTGGAGCCTGGGGGGAGGGGCTGGGGGTCCGGAGCCTGGGGTCCAGGGCCCGGAGGGGGAGGAGCTGGGGTCCTGCACGTCGCGGAGCCGGGCTGCGTAAACGCCAGCTGCACATGGAGCGTCTACACTGGGGGAACGGTTCCTTGGCGGTTCTCGCGGCAATCCACGCTCAGAAAGCGTTAGAAAGGCGGCCCACGGGCTTCAGAGAGGGTCCCAGAACCCGGGCCCTTTCCTTGCTCCGTTCCTTCACGCCCCCAAGAACAACGAGCAGGAGAGCGTCCCCCTTCCCCCAGCGGGGCGGCCAAGGCTTGCGCCGCTGTCTCGTGAGGTAGTGAGCTCCCCGTCCCGGCACCCGTGTAAGCAGAGCCAGGGGCTCCGGGCACGGACAGCTCCACACGAACACACAGGTTCAAGGGCAGTGACACACGCGCTGAGCCCCTACGCCCGGAGGAGGCAGGGCGGCGCACGCGCACTGCACAGGCCCAGTCCAACGCGGCCCCAAGGCCATAGCCTCCTGCTGCGCCTGCGCACTGAACGGCCCGCGAAGATTCCCAGAAGTCTCTGCGCTCGCTCCTGCCCGGTCCACAGCCTGCGGGCGGCTCCGGATGCGCAGGCGTAGATCGAGGGCCGAGCGAACGAGGAAGCGCCGGGAGCTGAGGGGGAGCGAGAGGTGAGTGCGGGGTGTGTGACGTCACGGGCCTGGGGGAAGGGAGAAAGGGAGGGGGAGGGGGAGTGATCGGGTGTCCACACAGGGGGCCGAGATTGGAAGGGATTGGGGGTGTGTGTGTGTCACCGTGGGTTGTGTAGAGGTGTGTGTGTGTGTGTGAGACCTGGGCGCCTGGGGGGGGGTCCTGTCCCCAGGGCTGCGTCTGTCACTGGGGCGGGGGACAGGGGCCCCTGGGAGCACCGCGGACCTGGGTTCAAGTCCTGCCTCTGACCCCACCCCCACCCCACTCTCGCTGAGCCTGTGAATGGCCATGGAGGGGCCCCAGCTGCCCCGGCAGAGGGAGTTTCCTCCCCTGGGACTTCCCTGTCCTACAGACCCCCGCCCCCGGCCCCTCCCCCAAGACTGCCTAGCTGTCCCGGGGGCTTGGGGGAGGGGCGTGGGTGTGGAGGGGGCAGGGAGCCTTCCTTCAGACTTGTCACTGGTCAGTGTGCCCCCTGGCATCCCTAAGGACTGGGGAAGCTCACTCCCTGTTTCAGGAAGTGCTTCCACTGCTCAGCCCGGGCCGGCCCGCCCATGGGCACTGGGTGTCCTGGGGGAGCATCTGGACCCTCTGGAGCAGAGCTCCTTAACCACATGTGTGTGTGCGTGCACATATGTGCACTAGGTGTGAGTGTGCGTTGTGTGTGCACGTGTGTGTATGCATGTGTGTGCACTAGGTGTGAGTGTGCATTGTGTGTGCACGTGTGTGCATGCGTGTGTCTGTAAAGGTGCTAGGTATAAGTGTGCATTATGTGTGTGTGCACATGTATGTGCATCTCCTCATGGGCTGGTGCCACCCTTTCCAGGCCCTGTGGAGGCCCCCTTCTCCCTCAAAGCCCCCAGGCTTCTAGTCCCATCTCCTGCCTAGGAACTTCCTTCCTCTCTGCCTGGCCTCCCACCTGGCACCCCCCCCCCCAGGGTGGGTGCTGCCGGGATGTCCCCATTCCCCATCATGGTTTGTCCTCCGGGATTCTGCCCTCTGGACACCCCTCCGTGGGAGCATTATTCCTCCCCATGCCCCCCCCTCACATTCCCAGCCCTTCACCTCAGTGCCCCCTGTCCTGCCCCTCCCTCGCACCGCTGCCCTCGCTGCCAGTGTGCGGCCTCATCTCGGCCCAGCGGCAGCCCTTGTGGTCATCCTTTATTGCCTCTTGTGCCCCACAGTGACCCCCAAGTCCTCTGCCTGAGGAGAGCTCCTGCCTCTTGCTGCGGGGAGAAGATGAGGCTGTTTCTCTCGAGCTCCCTTCTCCGGCCCTTCTCCAGCCACGGTCATCCCTCGGGTGCACTCAGGATGCCCGTCCCTCTTTCATGTTCAGGCTGTCCTTGGCCACGGGCGCCGTCCACACCCGGGCTCAGGCCTCCTCCATCCCCTCCCTTGCTCTCCTCTCAGGCCGTATTCTCCACCCTCAGGCTTTCCCAGTGATGTGCCCTCTGACCTCCCCCTCCGGCCACACCACTCCAAAGCTGCCACGGTGGTGTAACGCCGAGGTCTGATGGCCTTTCCTCTGCTGTCCTCCTCCTTCACAGGGCTTGATGTCAACAGTGAGGTGGTGTGGGGGGGCAGAATGCCGGGCCTAGAATTAGGAAGGCATGGGTTCAAATGCAGCCTCAGATGAGTACGAGTCTCTGCCTCAGTCTCCTCATCTGTAAAATGGGGATAACAACAGCACATCTCTTCCAGGATTGTTCATACTATTTGTAGCACTCAGCACAGTGCCTGGCACCCAGCAAGCACTTCCTTCCCATCGGCCTCCCCTCCTCCGTACTTCCTTCTGGATACCCGGCCTTTCTGTCCTGTCCCTCACTCCTATGACCAGCCTCAAATACCCTCTTAATTGAACTCTTCTTTCAGTGTCCCTCTGCCCTCTTCAGTCTGTCTCCCCCACGGACGCCAAAATCATCTTCGAGGGACAAAAGTTACTCCCGCTTAGTACCTTCAGTAGCTCCTGTGGTCTCTGGGAGGACCCACAGACTCGCAGCCCAGATCCAGCCCCAAGGTTCTGGGCCATGCCGGCTGCTTGCCTTTCTCTGCAACATTCATCCCTTGCCCATGCCTTTGCCCTGGCTGTCCTCCGAGCCTGCAAGGCTCCCTGTTCTCCCCTCAGCCTCTTGGGATCCTCAGACCCTTCCAGGCACAGCCCCAGCATCACCTCCTCCAGGAAGTCCTCCCCCAGCCTGGCGAGCACATCACACTTACCAGGAACTGACCTATCTTTGCCCATGCCGTGACTCCCCTTAGCATGTAGGGACTGTGTCTCTCCTGTCTTTGTGCCCTGTGCACCCTGCCCCTGGTGGGGACTTAATAGAGGGTGCAGAATTGGACTGAATGGGGGGGTCTCTCTCCTGCAACTGCATCCTCCAGTTAATACGTCTGCCCTATGAGTCTCTGATCCCTGCGTGTCTCCCCCCTTGGTCTCTCCTGAAGAGCCTGGGGGATGCCAGGACTGCTACTGTGATTGATATGTGTGTGTGTGTGTGTGTGTGTGTGTGTGTTGTGTGTTTACACTTCTGTGTATATATGTGTATGTATTTACACATTGTGTGTGTGTTTACACTTATGTGTATGTATGTGTATGTGTTTACACATTGTATGTGTATGTGTTTACACATTTTGTGTGTGTGTGTGTGTGTGTGTGTGTGTGTGTGTGTGTGTGTGTGTGTGTGTAAGGCCTGGGAGGTGGGTCACTACCCGGCAGGCAGCTGGTCCCTCGCCAGGCCGGCAGGGGCTGAAGGCTGGTTCTTTCCCTGACAGAGGCTCCTCTCTCCACCCTCAGGTCTCAGGTCTCATGGCTCTGAATCTCCTTCTTCCCCATGAGGGAAGCCCGGAGGAGGATGGTGGGTCCCCCAGGGGCCCCTTGGCCCCAGACCAGGTGAGTCGGGGTCTCCTCCTGCCCCAGGACTGTCCTCCGGGCTCCCAGACCGCTCTTTGCTGCCCCTGAGTCCTCAGGGAATTCTTAAAGTTGGTGGTCAGTCATGAGAATTACCATAGACTAGGCTGGCCAGCCCCTGGGCTGCAGGCCTGGCTCAGAGGCCTCCTTCCCTGAGGTCATCTGGTCCAGCCTCCAAGAAGAGGGTTCCAGCAGAGCCTGCAGACTACCCGCTGCCTCCCCAGTTTGCTGTAGGGCATAGGGCCCCCAACCCCCAGATCCACTTCCTCACCATCGGGGACCCTTCTCCCCAGGGCTCCCAGGGCCATGTCTGGGCTGAGAGGAGTATAGATGGACAGCTGGAAGGGTTCTTGGAGGGCATCTGGTTCAAGCCCTTGGTTTTAGGGTTAGGAAACCGAGGCACAAAGCCTTGCCCACAAAGGCCCACCTGCCTTCCCCCCCCCCCGGGGTCCAGTGCCCCCCGGGCCAGCACGCCTGTGTTTGGTGTTGCAGGAAGTGGTGTCGTTCAGGGACGTGGCTGTGGACTTTACCGAGGAGGAGTGGGAGTGCCTGAGCCCTGCTCAGTGGCAGCTCTACAAGGAGGTGATGCTGGAGAACTACAGGAACCTGGTGTCCCTGGGTAAGGCCACCTCCCCCGGGCCCAGGGTTGGGGGGTGTCTCTTCTGGTCCGGGGCTCTAGGATGGTGTGGCCTCTGGCCTTCTCTTTCCTGTCCCCACAGACCCAGCAGAGGCTGCCTGGGCCCAGGGCTCCCTGGTCCTCTGGGGGGAGGGAGACGTGGCTCTTCCCTGGCTGTTGGTGCTGCCGAGGCTGTTGGGGAGACCCTGCGGTGGTCCCAGAGCTGGAAAGGACTCCAGAGACCACAGATTCCTGCCCATGCCTGAAGGGAATCCCCATGAAAGCCTGTGGTCCTCCCCCTCTGCTTAAAGAGCTCCATGCCTGGGTCCGTGCGCCCATCTTCGTGTGGCCTGGACTCCTGGCAGCCCTTCTCCAGGTGGACATTCCCCCTTTTCTCAATGTCCTTCTTAAGCCATGGCCCCCAAGACTGACCCAGTCTTCCAGGTGAGGTCTGCTGAGGGCAGAGTGTGTCCAGGGGGACCATCCCCTTCCCTTCCTGGAAGTGCCTTCTCTCAATGTAGCCCAAGGTCTCATGAACACTTTTGGCAGCCACAGTGCACCCGACTCCTCTGGAGCTGGCAGGCCTCTCAGACCCCCAGATCTTCAGAGCAGCCACCGTCTGACCAGGCCTCCTGGCTTGCACTTGCCGGGTTGATGTTCTTGGACCCAAACATACGACTTGGCGTTTGTCTTGTTGAATTTCATTCTTGATCGAGCCCAGGGTTCTGGGCTGCCGAGGTCTTTAGATCCTGTCTGTGTCGCCCGTTGGGTGAGCCGGGCATCCGTGCCTTTCTCCAGGTCACCGACGCCAGTGTTGCAATGCAGAGAACTCCACTGGAGACCTCCTGCCGCACTGACCCGGGGCTGCTCACGCTGCCCTTTGGGCTCTGAGCCCCCAGAAGTGCATTATCATGGACTCCGCACCTCCCTGTCTTCTCCACACTGGTCTGAAAGATGTGACCAGTGGCTTTGCAGAAGTCCTTGGCCTCCCCCTCGTGACCTAGGTATTCATCTTGTTCCAGGCAGAGTGGAGGGCTGCATGAGGTGAAGCGCGGCTGGCCCTGCCCTCGCTGCTCCTCGGCCCGGATCTCCCCAGCCCGCAGGCCCATTGTTTGTAGATTCTTCTTTCCTGTTTGGGTGATCAGGCCGGAGTTGGCCATAGTCCCCCTTTCCACGGCGTCTGCCGTGTGCCTGGTAACGGCCCAGTTGGGCCAGGTGCCCTGTGGCCCTTGTGCCGTGTGCCTCACAGCCTGTGTGCCCTGTGGCCCATGTGCCGTGTGCCCCGCAGCCTGTGCGCCTCCCATTCAGGGCACCCAGACACTCGCCTCGGGGAAGGATCGTCCATTCATTCTCGCTTGGTTTTCCGTTTCTCTTCAGTGAAGAAAACAGATTCCGAATGAGAACCCAGCATTCTGCTCGGCCCTTGTGGTCAGACTCCATCCTGAGGCAGCCAAGGGGTGGGAGACGGTGAGACAGGACGTCCAGAAGCCTGGGGGCCTTACTGCTGTCTGCCTCAGTTTCCTTATTGGTAAAATGACGATGCTACTGGCCCTTCCCTCCAAGGGTCGTTGTGTAGATCAACTGAGAAAGTATTTGTAAAGTGCTTAGCAGACTAGATAGGTATTAACTGCTGTGCTTGCTGTCCAGGTTTCTGTCCCTTCTTTCAACCTTTTCCTCCCTGTAGAGCTGTAAAACACCTGTTTTTGTCGTCCTTAGGTCCCTTTGCCAGCCTCAGTCCTTCTGAGCCTGAGCCCTCCTGACGTCACTCCACAAACGCATGTCCCCCTGTCCCCTTCGCTCCGTTGCCTGGCTGCGTGTCACAGTGTCTTCTTTGCTCTGTCACCTGGCCACATTTCCTTTCCCACCAAACCCCTCCCTTTCTCTCTGTCTCCTGACCATGTATCCAACTGTCCCCTTCACTCTGTCGCCTGGCCACGTGTCCCCCCGTCCCGTGTGTCCATCCCCTTCATTCCGTTGCCTGGCTGCGTGTCACGGTGTCTTCTTTGTTCTGTCACCTGGCCACATTTCCTTTCCCCCCAAACCCCTCCCTTTCGCTCTGTCTCTTGACCACGTATCCAGCTGTCCCCTTCACTCTGTCTCCTGGCCACGTGTCCCCCCATCCCATGTGTCCGTCCCCTTCACTCTGTCGCCTGGCCGAGCACCTCCCCCCTCACCATCCTCTTCTGTCCATTGCCTGGTCGCGTGTCTTCCCCCCGCCACTGTCCCCTTCGCTCCATCGGCTGGCCGCGTGAGTCAGCTGCTGAGCTCCTGTGCATCCACGTCAGCCTCTTTGGACTGATCCCGCTTTTCCTCTGCCCCGGATCTTTGTCCTCTCCGTTTCTGGAGGATTTCATTCTCGAGCGCTTCCCACGCTCCTGGGATGACCTCCTGTAGACTTTTAGTCTGTGGGCTCTTTCCTGTCTTTCCCTTCGGCCCTCTGATGTCTGCTTCACCAGACCCTAGTGCACATGTCAGATGACACTGGATTTCCTTGCGTTCTCTTTTGTAAAGTCTAGAGGCTGTGGTCGTTTCGCTCCCAGGTTCCCCTCCTTACTCTCTCAGCGATCAGCTCCTTTATTAGGTGCTAGGTGACCCACTGGATAGAGCATGGGCCTAGAAGACCTGAGTTTGAGTCTTACCTCTGAAACTTACTAGCTGTGTGACTCTGAGCAAGTCACTTAATCCCTGCCTCAGTTTCCTTATCTGTAAAATGAGGATAATAGTGGCACCTACCTCCCAGGGTTGTTCTGAGGATGAGATGAGATAACATTTGTAAAGTGCTTTGCCAGCCTGGAGCACCATAGAAATGCTGGCTTTTGGGGGTAGCGAGGCGGCGCAGTGGATAGAGCGCCAGCCCTGGAGTCAGGAGGACCTGAGTGCAAATCCAGCATCAGACACATGACACTTCCTAGCTGTCTGACTCTGGGCAAGTCACTTAACCCCAGTTGCCTCACTTAAAAAAAAAAAGGAAAGCTAGCTTTTATAATTGTTATTATTATTGTTGTTGTTAGTGAGAATCAGACGTAGAACAGAAATCCACCTTGTTGATCCCTCCTCTTCTCTGTCAGTCAACAAGAATTTCTGAAGGATTTTTCATGTGTGGGCTCTGAGCATAGAAAGGAAGGCAAAAACAAGTGTCTGCCTTCAAGGAGATGACACTCTAGCGGGGAGATGGCAGGCAGCGCAGGGCGCACAAGATGTGGGAAAGGCCCTATCAGCAGGGGCCGAGGAGGGAAGATCTTGGCAGAGGAGGGGGGCCAGAGCGGTTCAGGCCTGCAGGACGACATACTGCAGCGAGAGATGCAGGCTGGAGGGTGACAAGGGGCCTTGGACTATCACATAGAAGAGCTTCTGTTGGGTCCCGGGGATGGGACGGAGTCCGTGGCTTCAGCAAGCAGGGGGGCGACGTGGTCAGAGCAGGCGTGCCGGGTGGAGGATGGATCTGGGGAGAGATTTGTGCCGGGGGGGGAGCAAACAGAGGAACAGTGCGTCCAGGCATGAGGCGTTGAGGACCTGCACGGTAGTGCAGCGAATAGGGACATCCGGGAGACAGGGTGGGGAGGCCAGAACAGGGAGACTTCTGAAGGACAAAACAATCCGGGAGGCCCATCTGGAGTCATTTGCTGCTCTGCTTTGGGAGAGACAGAGATGGGGAGAGGGAGGGTGGAGACAGGGGGAAAGTGAGAGGGGGAGAGAGAAGGAAAGTGAGAGAGGGAAAGTGAGGGGGAGGGGGGGAGACAGAGAGGGAAAGTGGGGGGGGAGAGGGAAAGAAGTGAGGGTTGGGGAGAGAGAAGGAAAGTGAGAGAGGGAGAGAGGGAAAGTGAGGGAGAGGGGGGGAGAGAGAAGGAAAGTGAGAGAGGGAGAGAGAGAGGGAAAGTGAGGGAGAGGGGGGGAGAGAGAAGGAAAGTGAGAGAGGGGGAGAGAGAGAAAGGAGAGAGGAGGGAGATGGTATGAGACCCAGCCCGCAGGGTCCAAGGCTCCAGCACCGCACTCTCACAGACGGTGTTCCAGGCTCCTGATCTGTCTCTCAGCCTCTTCATCCATTTCCTCTTTCTGTCCAGACGGGCTATGGCACATGCTCCATCATTGGACATTAACCCCAGATCTTCTCCCCTCTGGTTTCTGGATTTCCCCTCCTGCAGAGCCTGAGCTCTGGGCTCACTAGCCCCCTTCATGTTAGAACTGCTAGATCCTCTCGCTTATGGAGCCCCCGGGGGCATCGTCTTGTAGACACTGGAGTCACTGGGTTTTGTTCCTGCCTCTTTTCTTGGATTTTTTTTCCTCCTTGGCACTTTCGGGTAGCCCAACAGACACTCTGCTCTCCATCATAGTTACTATCTGTGTTAGTAATAGCAGGTAATAATGATAACGTTGTCGTAGCCCTCGAAGGTTTGCGGAGCACTTTACTGATGGTCATTCACCTGATCCTCCCCTTACGGGTGAGGCTGGAGGAGCTCTGAGTTGCTGCTAAGTGGCCAAAACAGATTTGAGTTCCTGTGCCCTGTCCTCCGTGCCCCCTAGCTGGGCTGTGTGCGTGGATGGTTTGATCTCCTGATTAAATCTGCTCGACAGCAGGCCAGCCATAGCCATTCTCCCCAGGCTTTGCCATTGTCTCCACCACCCTGTTCCTGTAGGCCACGGCCCCAGAGGCCCCTTCATAGGCAGCAGGGGATTTCCCAAATGATTGCTCTCTTTTTCTCCCACATTTTCAATGGGAACAGTGTGCTAAATAACGTCGGTGTGTGTGCGCGCAGCGCAGTCTTCAGTGCTCTTGGGGGCCGCCTCTGGTGTTGGCGCCCCTGGGGAGCACCAGCCGAGCCCCTTGGGAGAGCCTTGGGAGGGCCTCGGCGCCCCCTGGGTTGTCCAGGGGACGGAAGGACGCTGCCTCGGTGCCCCAGCAGAGGATCACTAACTGCTCCCCCTCTTCTCTCCCTCCGTGGTCCTGACCGGATGATCTCTCTCCCCTGTGGATTCTGCTCTGTCATTCTTTGGAGGACCAGCAG